TTATGGTTATGGTTTTCCTTATTTACTATAAAAGATAAGTTAGACTCACAAAGATAGGATAGTTGATAGAATATTTTCTTTAAATTTTTCCAAATGTTAATGGACTAAATATTGTTAACTATAGTTCTTTCTTGATAGCTGTTTTATTATATATAATTTTACTATGTTAAAGTTAAAACCTTCCCTTTTTCTAGATAGAAAAGAGGAGATGATGGGGGATGTCCTTTTGTATGCTGTAAATATATGTTTCTCTTTATTGGTTGATGAATAAAGCTGTTTCGGTCAATGGTCAGGCAGGATATAGCCAAACAGGAAGTATAGGCGGGGCTATCAGATTAGGAGAATTCTGGGTACAGGAATACAGGGAGTGAGTTGAAGAGAGACACCTTGTAGATGCCAGGGAAGGAAGAGGCTCAGACATTACCAGCAAGCCAAGACCACATGGAGATACACAGATTAATAAAAATCAGTTAATAACTAAGAAAGAACTAGCCAATAAGAAGCCTGAGACATAGGCCAAACAGTTTATACTTAATATAAGCCTCTGCATGTTTATTTGGGATTTCATCCTTTAGAGATAGAGAGGAAAGACTGGGATAGTAGGGAGGATGCCCACACATGCCTTCTTCATCAGAATGGCTTTGTTTGCATACTGAATTTTCTTTCATGGAGAACTGAATTTGAATAAATGTTTCTGGAAATAAACTATACAGAAAAGGGGGGCTCCATCCACCGCATGCACTTGTTTCACGTAAGAGAAAATACTGCCTTCTCTGCCTTTCGTGTCTGTCACCAGCTCTTGTGACTCACATAAACTCCCACCTCCACAGTAGCACCCTAATCCCGTCTGCACCACCCCACTTCATTTCTGTGCTTAAATGAGCTTCCAATGAGTGCTCAGTAAGGAACTCAAGCAGAACTGTGTGACACTGAGGTTTCAAACTCACATACGGATAGTAAGGATCACCAAGTGAGAAATTGTTGCACCCTTCCCCCATGGGGGTCTGTTGACCTGCTTGTAACTAGAAGCTTCTAGCAAAACACTTCTCGTATCTCCCCCCCCCCAGTAAGGCCTCCATGCAAGTTCCTGTTTCCTGTCCATCCTTATTGTCTAAATGTTAATTCCTGTTTTTGGCCCACCCTTTGCTGGAGGGCCCTGGGAACTTAGGCTTCTGACCTTGGTGGTTTTCCACCATGCCTGCCACTGGTATATAAGGCTCCACTCTTGTTAAAAGAAATGCCATTCTCCTTATAAGAATGAGCCACTGTCTTTGACTTCATTTACATCTTTAACCCTTCGCTTGGATGGCTGTGAAGTATTGTGCCATAACCATGAACACTGGCATGCTACAAGAAATCCAGTGATGAAGGAGAATTGAGCAAACTTTCTGAACGATGTTGTAGTAAGTATATACAGTGTATTATACACAGCATATGTGCTATATTCTACACAGTGATCTTGTGGTACACAAGGGCTCAAATAATCAATTACTCTTCCTGAAAAACAAATGTTATGTTGCTTCCTACATGAATGCAAGCTTTATGTCTGGGAAGTACTTGACCCAATGTAATATATATAAGGACTGGAAGATCTAACAATGTCCCACCATTTGCAAAAGAGTTCATTCTCCTCCTTCTCTGACACACAGAGCTGTCAAGTGAAGAGATTTCACATTCTGACTTCAGGTAAACAGGTACATTATTCTTTTAGAGCTCTGTTAAGATTGGATATTAAAATAGATGGTACTAGAAGTAATAGTTTTTAATCCAATCATCTGACTTCTCGGTTCTGCTAAATGTTTTTCTGTTGATACAACATCAACATTACTTTTCCTGATCACTAATCTTCTGTTCTTGGAAGTGGTGCTATAGAACCAGAATAGTTACTTTTTCAATTTCATCATCATAAAATGTTTTCTAGCTACTGTAAGAGTTCTTCCCCCGAATATCTAATCTAAGTTTAGGAGATATTAACATAGCTTGACCATTTTAGATACTAGTAAATTTATTTTCTCTTCTTGCACTATCAAGGCACACTTAATTCAGGTTGAAGGACATTCCATGTATAATCCCGAGGTTCCTGTTGCTCACAAATTGTGTTTTACAGCTATGGTGCCTGTATCCACAGTCTTTGTCTAAGGAGCAAGATCAGATCATGAGAATGCTATGAGCAAGAGATTCATTAGAGATGAAACCACACAAAATTTCGGTAAACTACGGGGAGGAAATGGTCCAAGGAGGATGGTTAAAGAATCACAGCAAAGTCACTGAGGCTACAAGGAAGAGTTTGGGAAAACTAAAAAAGGCTGCTGGCATCAAGGAAAAAGTTATTCTGAAACTGTTAAAGGAAGTAAAAATAAAATGATGCTGATTTAAGGGACAACTGCAACAGGATGTTTTGGTGCTGGAGAAAAATTCAGCTCAACAATAAATACCAAAGAAACAATCTGGACTTACAGCCCGGGAGCAGGGTGAGAGGTCAGTGAGTAGAAAGCAATAAGAGGAAAGAAATGCCAGGGGTAAAGGGAATTCTGGATAAATAAACTCGACAGGATTCTAGCTGAAGGCAGATCGGGTGATCAGGTACCAAGGGTGCGAACCTGCTAAACTGATTAAATGGGATTCATGCTACAAACAAGTCTAAATAGCTAAGGAGAGAGGCTAAGACCGAGGGCCTAGTCAAGAAGGGGACTCAGAGCGCCTGGCTGGAGTTCAGTCACACTAGAGTATTTGTTCCTGGATGTGCATCTAGAGATGAGCTTAAAGTCATTAGGGATCAGTCCTCAGGGCAGACGGTTGGGAAGAGAAAGCACCAAGGGAGCAACAGTCAATGCTGAGGGCAAACTGGTTCTCTGCGGTCTAGTCATGCGTCCACCACTGGTGTGGTGACCTAGCTAAGCCAGGTTCACTATCAAAGCAGCACACTCCTGCTACAACTCACAGGAGGCAGAAGAGAGAGACGAGCACACTCCCGCTCTACAACTCACAAGAGGCAGAAGAGAGGGACCAGCACACTCCTGCTACAACTCACAGGAGGCAGAAGAGAGAGACGAGCACACTCCCGCTCTACAACTCACAAGAGGCAGAAGAGAGGGACCAGCAGGAGCTGGAGGGACTGCCGTCCACCAACACGAGAACCAAGGATGTGTGACAAGCATAGGTTGTATCCAGGGTTGTGAGCTGACCCTCTATATATAAACTTCTGTCTGGCCCTTCTGCCTACCAGTCTCAAGCAAATAGCTCTTGTCACCAGCCTGACTGAGAACTGTGCAAATAATTCTGAGAGACTCAATTGTAGCCTAGCTAAACCGACACAGAATAAAGCCGTCAGCGTGGCCAGAAGCGGTTTCACAGAAAGCCATCCTAAAATAAATGTAAGCCTCTCATAGACAGGCTCAATAACAAAGTCTATCACAATGCACAACTTCAATTACCATGCTCATTTCTTCCAACCTTTCTAATGAATAAAACATTGCCACTAGCAAAAAAAAAGGGGGGGGGACTTGTTTTACTCTTACTAAGGCTAAAGTTTAATGTAATACTCAATATGTTACTATTCCAACAATCTTTTAAAGCAGAAATCTACTTGAATAGTAACTATTCTACATTTCTACCCAAATGCCTTTTGTCATCTCAGTCCTCATAACAGCTGCTTCTACTCCTCCTAAGGCAAAGTCCCTGCAGTGTGGGCGTATAGCAGTGCCAGCAAACCCCTGCTGCAGGCTCTGTCACTCTGGACTACCTTATGACTGAGAATTGAGTTCAAGTGTTGTCTAGTTGGAAGTACAGTTCTGCAAACGCAGCTCTGCTCTGAGCACACTCTCAGAGACCCTGTGACCCTCTCAGCTCTCGAAGCAAATTCCCTCAGGGAGAGAGTAACAAGGGTAGCCTTGTCTGAAGACACTCTTGATTCCCAGAGACACAGTCACACACAACACTGACACTGGCATCCCACTTGTCAGGAGTACCAAGAGTAAGCCTGGCACCTAGCAAATTTAACAAAACCTTCTAGAATTTGTTCCTTTTTGACTATTTTCATCTCACAGTAGCAGTATGCACTATAAGTCAATGGTGAAGGCAAAAGTTATCAGTAGAAGATCAATGTTTTTGCCTCTGACCTGAACTAAACTCTAGTTACCATTGTAGAAGATAAAGTTGATCCCCAAGGTCTTAGGGCAGTGATGTGAAGAATAAATGAAGTAACAGGTATTTTATCCTTCCCGGAAGCACCCCTAAATAGTCTTCTACCCACCTCTTTGGTAGGGAAGCTGTTCCCTCCTCCTTGGGACCCCATCATTTGGATGGCAGTCCTGCACACAGCTCAGAACCTCACTGCACAGAGCACTGTGCCCTCACTGACATCAGGGACCTGCCCCACCAGGCTCCAGACAGAGCTCTTTCTGCCTTTCTGGTGGTTGTTTGGGGCTTTTTCCTTCAAAAGAGCCCGAGTCCAGCTTTGTATGGTTTCACATCAGGAGGAGATCTTAGAGATACAAATGCAAAAACACTTACAAGGTGTGCTTATCAAAGTAGGCCGTGATTTTCTCCTATCTAGATTCTGCTTTATTCATCTAAGATCAATAATTTATGCTCTCTCTCTCTCTCTCTCTCTCTCTCTCTCTCTCTCTCTCTCTCTCTCTCTCTCTCTCTCTCTCTCTCTCTGTGTGTGTGTGTGTGTGTGTGTGTGTCTCCGAAAGCATTCCCAAGGTTTGACTGCATTTTCCCTACTTTCCTTGCTTCAAGTTACTTTAAGTAGAAATCAAGTACAGCTTAATGAAAACTAAAGCAGATGTCTGCTACGTCTACATTTGAACTGTAGAGAATCACTCGGACGCCATCTCTATCCTCAACAGTGGCGTCCAGGCTCATACAATGTTCTGTGCATGCAAAACCTAGTAAAGGGACAATCTCTTCCTTCATTCTGATTAACACCACCTTAGTGCATAGATCAAAGCAATGTAGGTTCGTCAGGGTATCTCATGACTGGGCTTCACACAATCAAAAATATCAACCTTTATTTTAATGTGTTAAAATTACTACAGGCTGATCAAGAAAGAGCATAAATTGCTTCTTATTAAACACAATATCTGAAAGTGAGAACTAATACTTTTGAAGCTGCAATACTATTTCATGAGGATGTTGCCTGTTTCAAATACTGAATAAGATCTTCTCTCTCACTCTTCTTTTTGATGCCAGCAAAGATCATTTTAGTGCCAGGGATGAATTTCTTTGGGTTCTCCAAATATTCCATCAAAGTTACTTCTGTCCAGACAACACCTATAAAATTGAAAATATGCATTAAGTCTTTGTAGTTACTTTTTAGGGCTTACTGTCTCTATGACCCACGTATGTGAACAAGAGGGTTAGCATCTCACTCAGTGGGAAGACTGTAGAGCTTGAACTACAAGAAAATTCCAGAAATAGAGTCTATTCCTGTTTCTCTGTAAAAACCCAATAGCCACATATTGTGTAGGACCACCAAAGATATGTCAGTGAACAACTACATGCTGTGCCTACACAATGACTCATGCTGCTGAAATCACAGCATCCCTTCTAGAGAAGACCTCAGAGATCACACAATCTAAGCCAATCTTCTACTCTGAAAATGGGCAAAATGTTATCCCAAAGAAGAAAGTGACTTTCCCTGACATGACAAGAATTTGTGACTAGATGACTCACTGGGTAAAATAACCATGAAGACTTGACAACCTGAGTTCAATTCCCAGAGCCCAAAGAACAAGGAGAATACCAATTCCCCAAAGCTGTCTTCTGACCTCCACATGTAAATTGTGGCATATATGTGCCTACGCAAGTGCACACATGTGCGAATACACACACACACACAGAGACAGAGAGACAGAGACAGAGAAAGACAGAGACAGAGACAGAGAGACAGAGAGAATCTGTTGGGGAAATCTGTGGTTCGGAAACCCAATTTCAAGATGACAGAAAAAGTTGTCCTCTTCTCCTTCGTAAAACCAGTCAAAGGGACACAAGTGACCTCACTTCTGGGTGAGAGTGTCCAGAAGTGTGAGCAGCATCTGATACTCCACCTATGAAGTACTGCTCACTGACTGGACTACATTGGCGACTTTACCTCCAAAAGGATGGCCCTAAGCAAGGACAGGCCTGCCCAGGGACATCAATAGACCAAAGACTGACACCAGCAAGCAAGCGGCCACGGTGATGTTCACACTCCGTACTCTATCTGCTCTGCTTGCTTCCACATTCCTCTTTCATTTAATTCCTGTTGTTTGTCCAGCAAATCAACTCTCTCCGGGCTTTGTTCCTGTCCTGTATCCCTCTAGTCTTCCCACACTGTTTCCTGTTTCCTTTTTCTTTTCCAGACAACACAAGCAAGCCGTCTCTGTCCACTTCATCTCAGTTCCCTAGCCCTGGGAACGTCTGACATCATTTGATTTTATTCCTGGCAGTCGACTCAGCTGTGACTGCTTCCCGGTCCCCTTCTCTGCTCCTAATGTTTCTTCGTCACTGTAGGTTTCCCACCGCTCTTTATCTAACAACCAGTACTAAGCACCCTGGGTAAGCCTGTGGCTTTCTCTGTTCTTTCCCCTTTACTCAGAGTCTAACATATCACTGCACACAGTACTACCAGTGGATCCTTACGTCCCAAACCATTGATGATTAAGAGGTAGCATTTTTCTATTTAATTGTCACCATACTTTGAGAGCAGGCCTACTTTTAGACAGAGATGTTTTTGCAGACTTTCCAAATAGGACGCCAGTTACTCAAGAAATAAAGTCAACAACTGACAAATGGGACCTCATGAATTAAAAGGCTTTTGTATGCCCAGAAAAGGAAACAATGATGGACTGGGCAGCGCACAGTAATTAATTTCATTCCAGTTCAAATGTGGTTTATAATTAGACTAAAAATCAGGGCTTTCCAACTGTACCGTTGAAACAACAATAATGAAAGGACACAAGAGGGAAACATCACTTTAAAAATGTGTCAAGATTCAGCCAGGTGGTGGTGGTACATGGCTTTAATCCCAGCACTTGGGAGGCAGAGGCAGGCAGATCTCTGTGAGTTCGAGGCCAGCCTGGTCTACAGAGTGAGTTCCAGGACAGCTCGGACTACACTGAGAAACTCTGTATCAAAAAACAAAACAACAAAATATTATCAAGATGAGTATACAGCTCAATGGTAGAGTATATTCCGAACATGTATGAAGCCCTGGGTTCAATGCCAAAGTACCACACAAAGAAATTTCATTCCCCTGAATTACCATATAAATGTAAGCAACAAATATAACTTAAAGTTGATTTACTCAGCAACCTAATAACTGAAAATCTAATTGTACTAACCACAATGAAATTCTAACTATAATTATCACAGTCAGCACACACTCTACAGTCCTCTGTAAGAAGGCCTTTATTTCAAAAACTAAGTTTTTTGGGAGGGGCTGATCTCCCAAACATCTGAAATCCCCACAACCTTCTGATGTCCAATGATTCATTAGAACAGTTCACAGGACTCAGGGAAGCAGTACACCAACAGTTATATAACAGTCATGTCAGGGCAGGGCCTAAGAGACCCAGAAGGCAAGGACTGGAGGATCCCAAATGCACAGCTTCCAGGCAGTGTCTCTGAAGAAACAGGACCTCCTCAATCTGCCAGAACTTTGGTGTGTAAGGAGCTTCCAATGGGGGTTTCAGTACATAAGCATGATTGACAGACTCACCACAACATGGAAGAACTGTTTCAGAATCTCAATGCCCATTCTGTCCCCAGAAGTCTACCTGATATCCCTGAGCTGGAGGCACAATTATCTAATTGCATGATTGGTCCTTCTAGCACGGTCATTCCCTCCCCAGAAATGATCTAGGATGGCAGTTATCACATCAGCAAGAACAAGGTCCTGGTCCCAGGGACTAACCATGACAAAGATAATCCTTTCACTTAGGAAATTCCAAGGTTTTACAGATTCCCTTCGAAAAACCCATACAATACCTACTCATCAGCATTTTTGCATATCCTGAATACTATAATTGTACAGGCCTGACTCAAAGTCCTAAGTTTTATCCTCAGGATTTACATGGTGAAAGGAGAGAACCTACTCTTGCAAGCTGTCTGTGATCTCCACATGTGTACTGGACACATGTGTAATCACTCACACATATACACACACCACACACACAAATGACAAAGTGGAGATCGGAACCAGGAGCTGGGGCTGGGGCTGGGGCCGCCAGCGGAATTGCAGTGAAGTACTGATACTTGCTATAATTCTGATGGGCCCCATGAAAGCATTATGCTAGGGGAAGGAAGACAGACACAAGCAGTAACATGTTACATGAGTCCTTGTACATGAACAATCAACACGCAAATGCGAAGAGACACAGAGCTATTCAGCAGTCATCGAGGGACAGGGCTGGGGGGGGGGTGCTAAACAGGTGAGGATGCTGCAGGGTGTTTCATTTTAGAGAGTCCTGAAGGCCAGGCACAGTGGAGCACACCTTTATCCTAGCACTGAGGAGGCAGAAGCAAGTGGATCTCTGTGAGTTCAAGGCCAGCTTGGTCTACATATGGCTATGTAGAGAGACCCTGTCTCAAAAGAAAAATAATAAATTAAACAAAGGAACTGAAGAATAAAAAAATAAGTTTTGAAATCAGGGAGAGGTAATGATAGTACAGTATCATGAATGCTAAATATTAATAAATAACATACTCTAAAATAATTAACTAAGTGTTATATGAGTTTCACTCCAACTAAAAAGAAAAAATTTTAAATAGCTGGGCATGCGGTCTGTACCTGCATACCTATAATCTTAGCATTTGCAAGAATCATAGTGAATTTGAGGTCAAATTGGGCTACAAGTGAGTTCAAAGTCAGTCTGAACTACAGACTGAGACCCTTGTCAACTAAAACCTTTCCAATACCAGTGCTCTGAGATTCGGGTCTGTATGACTGGAAGCCACCAAGAAAAGTTCAAAATAGGGTTGCACTTTAAGAATATTTGATCAGACGAGATTGGGCACATTGAGGGTGGTATGGCCATCAAGACCGTGCTGGTGAAACCCACAAAGACAGCTGACTGGACAAAGGGGAGCTCTTGAACCCCAGACTGATGGCTGAGAGGCCAACATGGGACTGATCCAGACTCCATGAATGTAGTGTCAGTGAGGAGGTCTCAGATATCCCTGGAGCCTTGGGTGGTAGATTAGTGTTCACCATGGCGTACAAATGAACTTTGGGACCCCATTTCACATGGAGGGTTGCTCTCTCAGCCTGGACACATGGGGGAGGGCCTAGGTCCTGCCCTGGATGAAATGACAGACTCTGGAGATCCCCCATGGAGGGCCTCACCCTCCCTGGGGAAAGATGTGGGGATAGGGCTAGGGGAGGGGAGAGGGGTAGGTCTGGGAGGGAGAAGTGGGGGAGCTGGGATTGGCATTTGAAGCATGCATGTTTCTAATTTAAAGAAAAAAAAGAATATTTGATGTGCTGATCTAAGTATATTTATATATGTTTGTGTCTTTTCTAGCTGTTTTTAATCTCTGTTCTAAAAAGCTTTCTCAATCTCAAATTAATTGTTAAACATATTTTCAAACTTAAATTCCCAACTTTGGTAAGAATCACTACTACAAATTCAATCACTACAGCTATCATGTCATTAAAATGTTTTCTCTTTAGACCTAAGCCATGCTTTCTCAAGATAAATGCAGCATGTAAAATTTACATAAAAAACAGTCTGCATGGACAAAAATCAAAGACTGCTTATTCTTCTGATTGAAAGGATAACAAGTTATCTAAAGCCAGATCTTAAGGCAAAACACAGCATTTCAATAAACAGAAACACAGCAGTCTATTTGCAATGAAATAAGTCAGGCAGACATTTCAGCACCAACCCGTGCACAGTCTCTCCTGCAGCAAGATCTCTGAGCAGCCACAGCTTCTGGCCCTTACCTTTGTTCTTGTTTGCATCCGTGTAAGAATATCCTGGGGCTTGTCCTGTCTTTCGGCCGAAAAGGCCCCAGAGATTTGGACCTGTCTTGTGCTTTCCCCCTTTTTCCACTGTGTGGCACTGAGCACATTTCTGAATAAAGATCTTCTTGCCCGCTTCAGCATCTCCCATTTTGTTCTGCAATGAGACCTTAAACCACAAAGCAAAGAAAATACCAAATTTTCAAACCTGGAGAAAAAAAATTGGAAGGGGGAAGGATCTCATTACTTTGATTGAAGTGAATGTTAATAATATTAAGCAAAGACATAACATTTAGTATACATGTGCTTTAAATGTTTAAGTGCTCAAAAACACAGATGTACTACAACATCCAATTTTACAGATACTTAATAATCTTGTTAATCAGACTTTTGCTGTTGCTTTGGTCATACTACAAAGCCCTGGCTGTCCTGGAACTCTCTGTGTAAACCAGGCTGGCCTCGAACTCACAGTGATCCACCTGCATCTGTTTCCGTGGTTAAAGGTGTGTGTCATCACACCCACCTATTCAGACTTGTTTTAAATTTTTAGTGATAGCTTCTTCATAAACTCCTATTGATTTAAGCCTGGTTTTACATCAGCCTTCAAACAATTATATTAATTTAAATACATATGCAAAAATATTGTGAAACATGGATATCCCTTTACTTAGAAGAATACAACAAACATGAAGGGTAAACATCATGTTATTTACACACTCATCATAGCAGACATGCACAAGAGATTAAAAGCATACTCAAAAAAGTGAGGCCCCTATAAGATACATGTAAAATGATTTTTGTACTTACTTTACACCTTTATTTGTAAACCAGTCTACCAGATTAGACCAAATGTTACCTGAAAGAAATAAAAAATAACGTTACTGAGCTCAGGCCTCACTGGTACATAATATTAATGTGGCATAAAACAAATGGTGCTAAGTGGAGAAGGTCTTGGATTGTGAAAGATACAAGTTTCTGAACAGAGGTGCCTCAGCAGCCACCAAAAATTTCATTGAACAACCAAATAAATACTTCCTGAATCCAAAATGACATGAAAAGTAAAAGAATTACAACATCATAAATTGAACTCTGAAGTCTGGGGATGGCTCAGCAGATAAACTGAGCTGAGTCTCTGACACCATCACCTAGAGCACGCCTTTCATCCTGCTGCTGTGAAGATGGAGACTGGCACATCTTTAGAGCTTGGCAAGCCAGCCCAGCAAACAGGGCTCTGGGCTTACGTGAGAGCCTGTCTCTACCAGTGAGATGGAGAAATGGTCCAGGAAGACATTCCCGCACCATCCTGTGCCCTCCATATATTCCTGCACAAACAAGGTCAACCACAGACCTGCATACAACACACACACACACACACACACACACACACCACACACACACACACACACACACACACACACACACACACACACACACAGCACACAACACACTGACATAATGGTTGGCCTACCTGGGCTGTGTTTCCCTACACTTTGTGCTCTGGGAAAAATGAGAACAAGAGAGTTAATGACTAAGACAAATTTAAACAACAAATTATTATTACTAACATCATGAGATTCTTTGACAGTACAGTCCCAAGAATATATTTATTTACATAACCTTATTAAGAAACAAAATATTTGCATCAATCTGACACTTGACAGTATTGAATAACGAAAGTCGTCACATAAAAGTGAAGCCAGTGTTTTCCTCACTTTTAAAATCTGATCAGGAGCCAATAACTATTATTAATCTGCATAAAAAGAGGGCAATTTAGTGTACAGCCTTCAAAACAAATAATTTAGTACTCAGTGATTAGGTGTGAGAGAAATCAGGGTATGAAAACTTACTTTATGGAAGAGAAGGTGACAAAACTCCAAGCAATATTCAAAACGCTGCATTTAATTTTAAATGTATCTGTTCTACTGTTCAAATATTTCCAAAACACAGTGGGTCTTTGATTAAAGCCATAACGGAGATAAATCCCTCCACAAAAGGAAATGTATGACAATTTGTAAAAATACATACATTGTAACTATCAAGTCTGTATCTTGAAGATCAAAATACCATTAAATTACTGACCAGAGTCTTTACTCCTGACCCCCAATCAGGCAGATTGATTTGTGCCAACTGAATGTTACTAGCAACTCTGGAAACTTTAGCTATAGTCATTTGCCAAAAACACCTATGTTCAGTCTTCAAAATACTAGAGTTAGTCACATCATAACTTTTACTTTCACTGCCTTTAATCATAGAGTTATTGTTGGGACAGACACTGATGGCCCTGTTCCAGGCAAAATAAAACTAATAGATTCAGCAATGGCAGGAAGGAAATTGATTTGTGGTGAAACTAGCTGATACTCTGCCAATATTTACTTATTTGTCGCTGTCTTTTTATGTGGTCTCAGAGTCACTACGAAGCTTGCCTAGCTGGCTTTGCACTCAGCTCTCCTGCCTCAGCCTTCTGAGTGCTGAGGTTACAGACCCGCATGACCAGCGGGCTTTTACCAGTATTTCATGTGTAAGAGGAGAGGTAGGCAAAGGGGTTCTGCGTACTACGAGAATGACTGTTCATCTGTGTCTAAAGTAATCTCACTATTAGTAAACCGCAAGGCTAAGGAACATTTGTATGCCCTGCGTTCTAAGCCATCTGTGTGTTGTTTATTCACGGATAGTCCCAACAGCTCTGCGCGACGGTTACCACTCATGTATTCCCACACACAAACAAAACAAGGCACGTGGAAATTTGACCTGTTTCAGGCCATAAGTGAGGAGTAGTGAACAGAAATAAAGGGATTCCCTTTGAGTGCTTTGTTGAATACAGCAACTAAAGCACTGTATATACTTATTTTTGTCCCCAAATTAGTACTTAAATATTGGGTGATGTCAACCCCTTCAGGGCAGGCTTCGTGTTCAGTAGTTGACCAACATACATTGGACTCCAGTTTTTCTCTGTGTATGCCTTCATTCGGGTACAGTTTGGTGTGGGATTTTGTTGTTGGTATTATTTGTTTTGTTTTTTCTTTGGGGGTGGTGCTTTATTTTCTTGGTTCTGGAGTTGTTACATTAGGTTTTTGTGTTTTAAGGAAGAATAAAGTTGGGTGAAGAGGGAGAGGGTCTGGAAGGATTTGGGGGAGGGAAAGAATATGATCAAACTATATTTAAATTTAGTTTTATTTGGTTTTTCAGAACAGGGTTTCTCTGTGTAGTCCTGGCTGTCCTGGAACTCACTCTGTAGACCAAGTTAGCCTTGAACTCAGAGATCTGCCTCCAGATTGCTGAGACCAAAGGAAGGTGTGTACCACCCACCTAGCTAAAAATGGTTTTAAATAATAAAACTATAATGAAAAAAGAAGATTGGATGAAATAGCATTTTGTTGTTTATTTGGGCTTTTGTGTTTGTCTGTTTGTTTGTTTTGTATTTTAGTGATGCTAAGGATCAAACCTAGGGCCTCACACACAATAGGTAAGCCCTCTGTCACTCAGCCCTGAAATAGTTTTTAATACTGCTTTATACTGTGGATTGCGTCTAACTTTTCATGAACAGAAGGGCAATGTAATAATCATTAAGGTACCAATACAGCATTTAAAATTTACAAAGTCTAAATAATTCAAATGATGAAGAAGGGAGGGGAAGCTCGCTAGAATATTGTAAAGGTAAATAGTAAACAGATATAAAAAAATACGGAACAGCATTTCCCATGTAGTTGTATAAGGTGGGGCAAGGTATCGAGACTGAGCAAATCTCATTCTACCACTGACAGTGACTGTGTGACTGTGACGCCATTAGCTGGGACAAGAATCCACCTTCCCAAACGCCCAGCCCTCCACATCGATGCCAACCTCTGGAAAACATCAGTGAGAACTTTACCGAGCCATCCTTCCCACCCAGGCATCAGAGGCACGACAGACAGTCCTATCAACAGCACACTGCATCAGCCCCGCCAGGCTGGGGACCGTTGAACGCTCCTCCCTGGGTACATCTAGGCCCTCGCTGCATCTATCCACAACCAGGGCTCACAGGGCAAATCTGCCCAACCCACTCCCTTCCAACCACCCAGCCAGCACCTACCGCAATCACAGCAGCGGTGCCCTGTGCCACCCTTGGTGCCCTGATATAGTGAGGCCAAGATCTAAAGTGCCACCTCTGTGCCCGACGTCTCCTCCTACAGGCCAGATCCAGCACCCGCAGTCGGCCAGTTCCATCCTCGCTGCTGATTGGCTGTAAGATCCCGCGGGAATTCCAACTCTCGAAGAGAAAGGCTGTCCTTCAAATCTAACTGCCCCTGGCCAGATTTTGTTGTTGGCTACAATCAAATCGCATTAATGAAATGCTTCCTGTAAGCAAAACATTGTGTCAACTAAACTAAAAGTGCAAATATTGAACCCTGCATTCCCAACTGTTCGTGAGTTACAATCTGGCTGCGGCAAGAGGTTAAAATACAGCAAACTCGGATTATTACAGCATAAAATCAATATGATGACATACTCATATACGGCTACCCTCAGGAGACTGAGTCAGGAGGATCACCATGAGTTCTAGGTCAGCTTGTACTACAAAGTGAGAGCTTGTCTCAAAAAACACTAAGAAAAAAGCATTGCCAATGAACTATATGAAAATTCTGTAACATAGGAACTGACATCCAGGTTGCAAGATGCTAATTGCCGAGAATAGTCTACAGAAGAAACTGAAATAGACAAAGAGGTCCTGGAAAGGCAGAGGACGGTGACAGGGAAGGAAGGAAAGGAAGGACGGAGATAAGGGCAATGCAATGCGATTAGAAGGCTAGAAAGTGACTGTTGTGCTTAGAAAGAACACCAGCAGGGAGACTGCCTTATCTGTGCTCTCACAATCACCAGGGAGCCATGAGCGAGGTCTGGGGCAGAGAAGTAAGAATGCCAAAATAATTTTCTAAAATTGCTGAATAATCAAAGTTCTGGGAAATAAAATAGTGAAAGTATGTGCATTGGATTGAATACGATGGGTACTGCAAGATTTTGCTTCCTACAGCAGTGCTATCCAACAGACCTTTCTGCTGTTTTAGGAATAGTCTGTGTGGGCATTTTAGAAGCCACCGACTGCTTCTGATTACTGGAAATAAGTCTAATTAGACTGAGGAACTCAGTCTGTAACTATTTTGATCGTTCTTAATCATGGACAATTGTATTTAAATAGCCACCATCATCAAATGATTGAATGAAACCACTCCAAATGGTATCTGTGAGTTTTGTCCTCCAGTCTGTCTACACATGATAAAGATGCCATCCAATTGGATCAAAAGGGCTGTGGAAAAAAGAAGAAGAACAATCAGGGGTAAATAGTCTCAAACTGAAAGGCATGCAAACCGAGTCTACCGTTTCTTGTGTGTATGCACCATAGGCTAAGCTAGGGGTTTATATTCACTAGCCTTAGCCAATAGCTTACCCATGAAGCCAATGGAGGATGTGGATAATATTCGTATAAAACAGTCTAAAAATTCTCACTTGGTCATGAATAAATATCAGTGATAAAAATTTCCTAGACAATTTTCATATAGTGTAAATTTTAAACATGAAGTTTGAAGATTAGTATATCAACCAAGTAAGCTTTATTGCACTTACAGTGTGTGAGGTATTTTGGGAAGCTGATAAAATTTATTATTTTCTCTTTGCATTTCAAATACAAGTCACAATATTATACAATATTACCTTTCTGTGTCTGCTGTGGTCTCTCTTTCCTTTTTCAGTGCTGGTGAGTAAATCTAAAGTCTTTTACATACTAATCAGATTGTACAATGGAGCTACATTCTCAGCACCTTATCTCTCATTTTAGAAAAAGAAATTTCCAGGATTTGGAGTAAACAGTGTCAAGGACAGCTGGAACACATAAGTATAGGCTATATATTTTAAATCCTTGGAAAAATATAATCTGTGAATTCCCAGCACACTGTTTTCTGTAAAAAGCTAGTACTTCTGACCTGCAAATACTTAAGATGTTTTAGCCGCACATAGTCCATGTTCAAAGATGTTTTGAACAAATGTTTTGAACAGAAGTTTGAAATTTGATAGTTCCTTCCTGTCTGACATGAGGTGAGTAACCACACATTCCCATTCCCATAATACCCTGCCTCACTACAGGCCTGGAAAATTCAAGGAATCCAGGAACCGTAAGTTAAAAAAAATTCTTTCTTCCATTAGGGTTTTGTCACAGCAATGAAATGTCTGATTAACAGAAAATGAGTAGCAGAGAAAGGGGTTCATGCTGTGATTAAATCTAGTGAAATGATTCTTAAACCTTTGGACTTGGTTTGTGGGAGAACTATGGAGAAGGCTAGAGAAAACCTAGAATCCTGTAACTTAATGGGGAGTCTTGTGGAAGTTTGGAAGACCAGAATGCCAATAGAAATGTGGACAGTAAAAACTCTGTTCAAAAGATTTCAGGTTTCCTTGGAAATGTAACACAAAGCTTTCATGTTACATTCTGACAAACGCTTTGTCTACATATTGTCCATTTCCTGGGACTCTGAGTGAGGCTGAATTTAAAAGTAATGGCTAAAGGGTGGGGAGCAGTGGCTCAGCAGTTAAGAGCACTGGCTGCTCTTGCAGGGACTCAGGTCAGAGTCTCAGCACCCACGTGGATGCTAACAACTGTAACTAGTTTCCAAGAGAACTGATGCCCTCTTCTGGCCTCCAAGAGCACTGCATGCAGTTGGAGCACAAATAAGCATGCAGGCAAAATATCAATGCACATAAACTAAATAAATCGCCTTTTAAAATGTAAGCAATGGCTTAATTAATTTGGCAGAGAAAATGTTAAGCAGTGGGGCATTCTTACCGAGGCTTCCAGTACACTGGCTGCTTTTAGCCAGGTTTACAGTGAGAATCAGAGGCAAAAACTCAGGCTAGAACAACTGAAAAACTTGGCCATTTGCTAAGAAAATCCTGGGTGCGGCTGAGGCTAAAAGGTATGGTTTCTGAAGAGCTTAGTGCCTATTTTCTTTTAAAGCCAAACTCTTTACCTTGCAAACAACATTATAAGGGCAGTGGTTCTCAACCTCCCTACAGTTCCTCATGTTATAGTGACCCACAACAACATAATTCCGTTTCTTGCTGCTCTGTAACTAAAATGTTGCTACTGTTACAAATCATAATGCAAACAGTGTTTTCTGATCATCTTTAGGCAAGCCCTGAGAAAAGGCCATTCCACCCCAAAGGGGTTGTGACCCATAGGCTGAGAACCATTGCCTTGAGGGCATTTGAATAATTGGCCAAATCCTTCTTTGTGTTTTCCTAGGGTGGGGTGGGTGGGGAGTGCCTTCAAGAGACCATGCTTACAGTGAGACCTAGGAAGTTATTCCATGGGATTCTTTTCACCCCGCTCAGCTGCCCCGGCACTGGGGGCCACTTCAGCTGCAGTATACGAAGACCCAGCTACCACTTCAGCTGAGGGCCGACCTTGGCACCCGGCGCACAGTACTTGTTTCTCAAGCATGCAAAACGTTAAAGTTTGAGAGATGTTGGCGGTTCCCAACCCAGCTTTCCAATGAAGACTGGAGAAAGCAGCCAGCATGTGACAGGGTCAGCAAGGCCTGGAGGATGCTGTGAGAGTGAGGTGCCTGAAGCTGGGAGGGAGAGGCTGAAAACGTAAGGGAAATCCCAGGACACAGATGCTGGGGAAACCACGTATTTGCCAAGAAAAGCTGCATGCAGAGAACAGAGCCAGCCCAAGAGAAGCCATGTAGGTAACAAATAACAGGGCTGAGGAAGACCTGAGGCCCTTGTCTTAGACAGTTTTGAACATCTGTCCTGTTGATTTGGGTCTTGTTTTAGCCCCATCCTCCCTTCCTAAGTCCCACTCCTTTCTGTGACATAAATGCTTTTTTCCATGCCACTATATGTTTAAAGTATCTATTTTCACTTTATTTTGTAGGTGTTCACAGCCAAGAGTTAATTTTTCCTTGAACTTGTAAAAAGTATTATATGTTTCTTTTGAGCCTAAAACTCCGTGCATATAACCCTGCTGGCCTTGAACTTGCCATCTTTCTGCCTCCGTCTCCCAGGTGCTGGGACTGCAGCTGCATACTGTAGAGTCAGCTTTGGATCTGGACAATGTCAGAACTGTGAAGAGACTCTTAGACATGGAGTTCATGTCTTTGGAAACTACTGGACATGAACTAATGCATTTTGCATTATGAGATAGCCTTGAGCCTTTAGGGGCAAGGAGGGGAATGCTGTGTTCTGCATGTGAAATGCCATCCCACAGATTCGTGTACTGAATGCTTGTCACTATCTGGGGGTAAACTCTGAGAAGCAGAGCCTAGCTGGGGAGTAGGTCACGAAGGACATGCCTTTCAAGGGTGTGCCTGGTGCCTGGGTCCCTTCTCCCTGCTGCCAGGAGGGGAGACGCCTCTGCCTCCTGTTCCTCCTGTCATATTGCCTCACACCAGCCCCAAACCAGCAAAGCCTAGGGAAAGAGCTTGAAACCGCTAAAGAGATGTGTTAGAATGACTCTTTTCTCCCTGCAAAAAAACAAGACTAATCTGTTAAGATGTCATTACTGATAGGCGAAGTGCTCTAAATTGAGTGTGATGACACTCTTGTCACCTGAGTCCCCCTGGAAGAACTACCTGAATTTTCTATCTCACTTTAACCTTGTCTTTGAGGACAAATAAGGCTAGAAGTCTCTCTTCAGGGAGCTAGAAGAAACAGTTCAGCTCTAAGATGGGTAAAAGAGCACCAGACAATTTCTAACTTCATCTTAAAGCCACCCGTATGTGCAAAGAAACACTCCAGTGCTGTGGCAGTTGGAAGCTGGCTTGAGATGCCTGGAATAAACCACATAAGAGAAAAATGCTCTCCACTTATTCCTAGAAAATATGCCAACATTCCTCCCATTTGCAAGTTTACCCCTCATCCAGGCCTGGGGGTTGTAAGCCCGTTATCATAACCACTCATGATGCTCAAACTGCAAAGTGAATGGAAGGCCAGCCTGGGCTACCTAGTTGAGACTGTGTTTCCAAACAAATCATTTACATTCAATCTCCAATACTGAAAAAGAAAAACAAAAACATTTCCCTCCCCCATATCTTTTCCTGCTATCTATAACACTCTGATCCCCATGAGTTGAAAGGTTCATATACAAGTCTGCTCCCACTTCTTTACATATTGGGCAAGAAAAAATGTTCCTTGCCTGCTCAACTGGTGCTTACTCTTGCTATTTGTTCACAATTCAAAGAAGGAAAAACAATCCTGTTTGGTGGGGTGCAGGAAAAATGTGATTAATATACTAAAATATACTTAAAAGAACCATTCAAATGAGTGAATTTAGGATCTCAACTCAATAATTTTTTAAAATAAATCACAAGAAAGAAACATTCTTATATTTTAGTAATGTAAATATATGCTTCTTACTTTACTCAAATATGTGATGTTTCATACATTTGGGTGATAAGGAAAATGTTTTTCCTATAATTTCCAATGCCTTTCTTTAAAGAAATAAGCTTTACAATTTCAGGATAAAAACCAGTATTCTTATTTTACAGCCGTTGCAGTCTAAGAAGACTTCCCACTAGATGGCACTAGTGTGCAAATTTTCATACTCCTAATCTTTGCACTTCCTCACATCAATAAAGTGATTCCATTCTTTTCACTTGCCTTGACTGGTCTTCCTAAGACAAGAGAAAGTGGAAAGACATGACAAGTCACTTCCTGTCCTTTCTAAGGGACAGGTAAACAGATACAGGGTGCAATGCAAGAAATAATTGTAACCCCTATGTCAAATTCATTGTAACCATCCATAATCCCTGAGCCTTCCAGACCAATACACAATACACAATACACAATACACAATACAGAAGTTGGTATGGGCACTATTGTAAAGGAAACTAGAAAGTTAACTTCTCCTGTGTCTTTGTACACATGTTATTTCATTTGGTCCTTGAACTGTTAACTCCATGTAGTAAATACACAAAGCTAAACTGTTAACTTCAGGGAGAGAAGAAACAGTGACCATTTTGTTTGCTACTTTGTCTCTTGTGCCTAGCACAGTATTCAACAAGTAATTAAAAGTCAAAAACATTAGTCTCCAAGTGTGGCAGTACCCATCTATAACCCCAGCATTTGGGAAGCTGAGGCAAAACTTTAAAGTTCAATACCAGTTTGTGCTAGATAGTGAGACCCTGTGTCAAAAGAATGCCAAAGGGCTGGAGAGATGGCTCAGTGGTCAAGAGCACTGGTTACTTTTCCTGAGGACCAACACACACATATGGCCGCTCATAAACATCTCTAAATTCAGTTCCTGGGGATCCAATGCCCTCTTCTGACCTACATGGGTATTGTATACACGTGGTACACAGACAGGCATTCAGGAAAACCACTCATATACATAAAATAAAAATAAATAAAAATCTCCAGGAAAATTAAAGTTAGTTGAATGAATGGGTGACTTCACTAATTATGTCTGACAACTAACTGCTCCACTTAGTATATAGCACTATTTTTACTCTACAGTTGAAAAGTCTGAAGCTACAACTACACAAGGAGTTTACAGGATCTAGTGACAAGATGGATCTTGTTCTAACAACAAGTGTGTAACTCCTAGAACACAGATGGCACACAATAAATATGGTTGTGCTTGACTTCATAGATACCCAGATCTTAGCAGCCTGGATAGGGGTATTTTAAGAGCTGTGCTCCTAGCCCAGTTTTGTGATTTTTTTTCTTTCATTTCATTCCAATGCTACTAAAGGCTAACTCAGTCTTTGGTTCTGGCTGTCTGTTGACCTCATCATCAAGGCTCAGTAGTAAGCTCTATAAGCCATTTCCCCCAGATGAGCAGCCACCATTTTCTCTGTTCCTGCCTCTTGGAAGTGCTTGTGGGAATTGAGCAGATCAAACAGAGGGGGCCTGGTTCTGTTACCTGAGCCTCTTAACTTTGGGCCCAAGATTCCTCATCTCTAAAGAATGAGGCTAAGATCTTATTCTTTAAGGATTACTTTCAGCTGTCAGGTTCTATAGTTTTAACTGTCTTAGTCGGGTTTCTATTGCTTTAAAGAGACACCATGGCCATGGCAACTCTCATGAGGGAGAGCTTTTGATTGGGACTTGCTTATGGTTTCAGAGGATTATGTCATCATGGTGGCAAGCGTGGCTCAGACAAGCAGACATGGTGCTGGAGAAGGGGCTGAGAGTTCTACCTCCAGATCCACAGGCAGCAGGAAGAGAGGGACACTGGGCCTGGCTTGGGCTTCTGAAACTCCCAACCCCCCCCCCCCCCCAGTGACACACTTCCTACAACAAGGCCACACCAACTCAGACAAGGCTACATCTCCTCTCAAATAGCATCACTCTTTAACGACCAAGCATTTTAACATATGAGCCTATGGGGGCCATTCCTATTCAAACCATCACAGATTCTGTCTGTAGTGACTCTTAGTTGAGTCAAAACGGTGACAAAGACTCCCTGCTGTCACCAAACTTCCCAAGTCTCCTGCTTGACTATCCCCAACTTCCAGCTCTCTGATACATCAGGGCAGTGAGTCTTGCCCTGATGTCTGACTACTCTTAGCATCTGTCACTCTGGTCTGCCTGCAGCATGAATTCTGTGAAGCAGGTTTACCAAGAGTTGCTCCTACCCTGCCCCCCCCTTCAGCAATTTTTCGTTTACCAACTTTCATACTGCCCTGTTATAAATCTTTACTTCTCTTACTGGAACCAAGTCCAATACTCTCCTTTGTCGCAAGACCCCATTGTCCTTTGTGACTGTCACCAGGGTCCCTTAAGAGTGAAGTCTGCCTATTTTTTGTTTATCTTTGGTTTGGTGTTTTTGTTGTTGTTTGTTTCCTCTTTGAGACAGAGAGTTGCCCAGATGCTGGCCTCGGACTCATTATGTAGCCCATGAGGCCTCCAATGTAGCGCTCCGATTCCACCTAACAGACTGGGAGAACAGGCATGTGTCGCCAAATCATCCAGTTTATCTTTTAAAAGGGTGAAGAGTAATCTTTTTTGTAACAACACATTGTGGGCTTAGAAGAAGCCAGAAACCAGATTTGGGAAGGCTTAAGCATCTGGCAGGTGGGTCTTTTTGGCAACAGGGCAACTTAGTTTGCATAAACTGATTCTTGGTTTCCCTGAGACTGCGATTTGGGGACTGTTCAGAGTCCCCCATGGCGCCAGAGGGCGCTGCAGAACGCTCTCGGAAGCCAGCCTCACTCTCTGCGGGACAGCACCTGCCTCCCGGCTCCGGGCTCTTCCGGAAGTGGAGCTGTGGGCTGGCGGAGGCGGGCTGGTGGGCGGCCGGGAGGACTGAGCCGGCCGAGCCCGGCGCCTGGCTCCCTTTCCAAGGTGGAGCACCATGGAGGACGCCAGCAACTCCGCGGGCAGCGGAGGCTTCCGCCTGGGCGTAGACAGCCTGGACGAGCCGCCCAACAGCCGCATCTTCCTAGTGATCAGCAAGTACACGTCCGAATCGGTGCTGAGGGAGCGCTTCTCGCCCTTTGGAGACATCCAGGACATCTGGGTGGTGCGCGACAAACACACCAAGGAGTCCAAGGGCGTCGCCTTCGTCAAGTTCGCCCGAAGCTCGCAGGCCTGCCGGGCTATGGAGGAGATGCACGGACAGTGCCTTGGTCCCAACGACACCAAGCCCATCAAGGTGCTGCTCTGGGGTGCCTCCGTTAGGGTGTGTGAGGTAGAGGCGCTCGGTTTCGGGTGTCTTGGATGAGAGTACCCGGGTTGGGGTAGCTGGGCTAGGGGTGCCCGACTCAGGGTGTCTGGGATAAGGGTGCCCAGGTTGGGGTGTCTCAGGTAGAGGTTCCCGGGGCTGGGGTGACAGCGGAGGCTGCGGTGGTGTGGGTCGGGGTCTCTCCCGCACCCACGCACCTGGGATGTATCAGGTAGTAAAGGAGTTGAAATCTGCTCCCTGGAGCTGACCATGCATGGGTCAGGAATGGCTAGGAGGAGAGGAACCCCGCCCTCTGGGTAAGGGAGCCTCTTCCCCTGGGAACAGATTGGGTAGCCACAGCCAAGGGCCGCGCAGCCCTGGCTATCACTTAACGTGACTCAGTTGACCTACTATTCTTCTCTTCCTGTGTATTGCGAGGGCTTTTCTGACCCGCCTTTCTCGGACACTGTGATTAACTTTTGCTACTAGATAATTTTGTTTTTTTTTTTTCCTTTTGAAAGGACCCTGCCCACCTCCCATCCTGCTTCTCCTCCGCCCCCTCTTCTGCCATTCCTGTCCCCAGAGGCTGGCCTCCCTCTCCTCTCCTCCCCTTTCCCATTCAATTTCCCCCAATTAAAAAAAAAAAGCCCTCCACCCAAGCTCTGGCATGGCATCTTTCTCTTGAACACCGCTTTTTTAAGTTACAGCACCAGCAGTGCTTGGCATAGGGTGGGAATTAGTAACGAAATGACTAAAAACAGATTACCTAGGGATATGTCTCTAACTCATCTTATAAGCAGGATCCTTTCCCTCTATAGCAAGCTGTCTACTGAGCAAAAGTAACAACTTTTATGTCCCTGGATCCAGTGTTCTCTTTCTTCAACAAAAGTATACAATATCATGTTTTTGTTTTTGATTCTGTTTGCTTTGAGTTTCGGCCTCCTGCAGCATTCATTGTCCATGGTTTTCACATACTGCCCTCCTTAAGGAAACACACACGTGTATACATGCATAAAACCTCACTGGGGCCTTGTGTATAAGGGGATCTGTGTCATTTCAAATTATAAAAAGTAACATTGTCTATGAAGACTATTATGGTTATAGCTGCACAAACAAGTCTATGGCCTTAGTCACAGATTTTAACATTGCTATGGGAAAATAAAAAAACTAAGACAAATTGAAAACAAATATTGTACTACAAAATGAGTTAGATTCAGATCCACTTCCCTGACAATGCTTTAATAAAATGAAACTGCCAGTATTAGAATAGAGTCTCCTGTGAGTTTTCTGCTGCATGTGAAAGTCTTTGGATATTCATGGAAACAGATCAATTTGAGTATGCTACCCTTTCCTAAAAATTGAGTGTTAGAAAGCAGTTACAATGACTAGACTTAACCCCATCTGTATGAACATTAAATATAAATGAACTAAGCATCTCGGGGAGGAGAACATCTCCGGACATGGCGACACATGTCTATACTCCCTGCACTCAGGAAGTCAGGCAAGCAGATCTTATGTTCAAAGCCAGGATAGGCTACATGGGAAGACCCTGCTCCCACCAAAAGAAAAACAAAACACCAAAATGCAGCTAAGTGACATTTACAAAAGAAACACTTTAAAGATAGATACTGTGTGGTAGACATTTTTAAAAAGTTCATATCAGTAAAGATAGATTTCAGTATGTAGAATATTAATAGATAATTTCACAAAGAAACATATAGCAACCCCATGTATTTATGCAGCCAATAACAGAGCTTCAGAATACATGCAAAATTTGGCATGAGGAGTGGGGGCTTTGGGAATCAGACCCATGCCTTCATAAATGCTAGGTGAGCGCTCTGCTGTGAGCTGTGCCCTCAGTCTGGAGTGCCATTGAGAGGACTAGGAAAAAGATGAATAAATAATCTGATTTATGTTTGGTCAGCATCTGATCAAACAAGTAGGCAAGCAAAGATGTGCCACATTTTTATATTAAGAGTATGTGACCTTTAGTTGTCACTGTATCTAACTACTAAGTTTGTATTCCTTCAAACAGCGACCTGCTCTTCTTGGTAGTCAAAAATACAAAAGCAAGCACCGGGGAGGCAAAGACCAGTGGATCTCTTAGAGTTTAAGGCCGGCCTGGTCAACATATAGGTTTTACTGTGGCTAGGGTTACATAGTGAGACACTATCTCAAAACAAGACAAAAAAAAAGTGCAAAAGTCAAAATGCATTTGGAAAGAACATAGTAAAGATTGGTATTACATTTTTTTAAGTTACTGCAATAAAGATTACTTTTGAAAAAAATTATAAGGCCCTATCCCATAGCATTTGTGTCTGAGTTGTATACCTGTGCTGTAAAGTAAGTGTGCGTAGGGAGTAGGAATACAGTTACATTATTCTGAGGGCTTCGTATGCTTCTTAGGTTTTCATTGCTCAGTCCCGATCATCAGGAAGCCACAGAGATGTTGAAGATGAAGAACTCACAAGAATCTTCGTTATGATACCAAAGTCCTATACGGAGGACGACCTACGGGAGAAATTTAAGGTTTGTGTGTCCTCATCACAACTCTGTTTTCAACATTGTACAGTTACTAACAACTGGACAGTAGTAGTGAGAGTCCCCTCGCCCAGACTTCATTGAAAAGTATAGGCTGAGAAAGTGAAGTGAAAAGCCAGAGTGTTTGCATTAAAACTACACAGCTAACAGGTGGTGGCGCCAAGATTTAAACCCGCTCTGCCCCCAGAACCTGCCCTCGGTCTTTAAAATTCCAAAGCTCTTCGTGGTCCTCACTTCTCTTGCCTCTCTGGAGAGGGAGGCGCAGGCCTGAGTCAGGCTGGAGCAGATGAGCTGTGCTGACTAATACTTATTCCTTCAAGTGGTTTTGTCCTAAAATTTGGCTTTTAACTCTTGTAGGTGTATGGTGATATCGAGTATTGCAGCATTATTAAGAATAAAGTCACTGGAGAAAGTAAAGGTCTGGGCTACGTGCGATATTTAAAACCATCACAAGCCGCCCAAGCAATAGAAAACTGTGATAGAAGTAAGAGGTTTTTTTTTTTAAGTTTTATTTTATGTCTGTGATTGTTGTGCCTGAATGTACGTCTGTGTGCCACATGAATGCAGTGCCTTCAGAGGCCAGAGGAAGACATCAGATCTCCTGGAACTGGAGTCGCCGGTGGTTGGGAGCCACTGTGTGGGTGCTGGGAAGGGAACGCGGGTCCTCTGAAAGAGCAACACATGTCCCTAACCACCGAGCCATCTTTCCGTATCCAGAAGTGTTTGTTTTTTAACCTTGCTAAAGGGCCCTTTGGAAAAGAATTCCCATTATTTTAATTAAAAGGGTCTACTACTAGATTTTTGCTAAGGTTAAATAAGTAGTGAGTAAATGTATGATATTTGAATTATAAATATATGATTCAAGGATGAAAACGTTTTGTTCTTATGAATCAACCATGTGCTCAAGCCATCTTAGTGACTGAGTCATCAAGATGTACTGAGTTATCTAGTAAGCACAGGGCATACTTGGTTTGTTATTTGAATAGGTTTGGGACTTTAAAAAATACTCTGTAATTTTTAAGTACTAAAAATTGATTTACCTTTTAGGTTTTAAAAAATCTTTTTCTTTGTTGTTTTTCTTAAGGCTTGCTATATATAGCCCAGCTTGGCCTTGAACTTGTGATCTTCCTGCCTCACCTCCTAAGTGCTGGCTTTATAAGCATATGCCACGATGCCCAGCAAATCTTATTCTTTGTATTTGTTCCTATTTGACCAAAGCCCTGACCGGGCTTTAATATACTGACAAACATACAAATTAAGGGTAGGGTTGGTGAGATTTGCTATCACAGGTAATTCATTTAAAGCTATAGTAACAAATTATTGGACACTTTGACGTTATACCTAAAGTTGATATTGAGAAATAAAAGGTGTAGTAAGTTACTGGGATTTAGACGGTTATAAAACTCTGTATATACAGGAAAGAGTTGCTGTTGATCAGTAGACTTCTTAGGTACCTCTAAATTCTACACTACCATTTTTTTCTCAGGTCCTTCTAAATTTCCCAGTCCGCCTTTTTTTGGTTTCTGGGTTGGTTTTTGGTTTTTGGTTTGTTTTTGTTTGGTTTTGGTTTTTGGTTTTGGTTTTTCGAGACAGGATTTCTCTGTTGCTTTGGAAGCTGTCCTGGAACTAGCTCTTGTAGACCAGGCTGGTCTTGAACTCACCGAGATCTGCCTGCCTCTGCCTCCCAAGTGCTGGTATTAAAAGTGTACACCACCACCGCCTGGCCCCAAGTCGGTCTTAATTGACTCCCTATGTTATGCTCCTCAGTGTGCTAAGAGGAAGGTATAAATGAAGTATCTAGTAGCCCTGGCATTGAAAATTTTTATATCCTCTATATTGACTATCTAAGACCTAGAAAATAAAGACTAGGAGAACATTTTTGAAGTATATTTTGTTTTCCATCACTTCCAAATCCCTCCTATAGTCATAGCTCCTCTATAAGTATTGAATGAGCTCAAGCCAGCTAGTTTATCATGCTTGCAGCTGTTGAATAATATGAATGCTATGAGTCCTTGAAATACACCTGTGTATAAGTAATATGGATAAGCATATGTTTTAGAAGGTTTGTGGAACCTTCTCATTTTGTGTAAGGGTCTGGGAAGGGTGTACATGGAGGGCAGATTCTGGCTTATCGACCTTGTTTTTTTGTGGTGTGGTTCTCACTAAACCTGGAGCACACCTATTGGCTAGCCTGATCTTGCAACTCTACCTCCCCAATGCTGAAATTAGAGGCATGTCTGGCCTCATGTGGCTTTCTATGTGGGTGTTGGAGATCTGCATTTAGATACCCATGCTTGCATATGGAGCACTTGACTCACTGAACTGACTCCTCCCTCTCCCTCTTCCACTTTCTGAAGCTAATCCTTAGACCCCTAAGTAAGAACTCTTGATCTAGAACAAGGAGACCGGTTACAGAGCCGTCATGATTAACTGAACATGTAACTTAAAAACAGGCAGAAAAGTTAGCATGCAAGAAAGCATTCTAAGCACATATAAAGGAAGCAGGTTGGTATTATGTTAAATGTAAAGATGCCCAATGGGGTTTTAATCCTAAGGGCACTGGGCAAATGGGTAATACCATCTTTTGGGAGGGTGGCACAGCATGACTGACCTTTCTTGTCTATGCTAATTGATCTTTATTTGGGAGTTCTTGGTTTGATTTTCTTTTCTCATTTATTTTTTTGTTCTTTACCGTGAAACAAAGAAGTAGGTCTGATGAAGATAGCCACCATGTAGAGTCTGTTTTGTACCGTTTTATTTCTGAAGCTAGATTAGACCCTCAAAACCAAATTTGTTAAGTTTGCTATGAAACTTGAAAATTCATGGCTTCTCATTTTCAGGTTTCAGAGCACTGTTGGCTGAACCTAAAAATAAAGTATCTGAGTCCCCAGAACAAGATTATTATAGTAGCATGAGGCAAGAGGCTTTGGGGCATGAACCGAGAGTAAATCTGTTTCCCTTCGGTGAGTAGACTGCCTATACCTTTATGTTAGTCGCATGTTAAGCATACGTGATCCAATTTAATTTTCAAACCATTTTTTGTCAGCACCGTGAAAAATCTTTCCTAATGAATGAAAATCTTACATGTACGTTTGTTTTGTTTTTCCTGAGAAGTTGGTCAGTACTTCTGATATCTTAAATACCTTTATTTTGTTCGACTTATTTCCAATCTAGATGTCTCTGACTAGCTACACATTATCTACAAACTGTCCTGGGTCTCTACTACCTTTGTATGTATGTGAATTCTGCTTTTGTGCAGTCAACCAAAAGTATAAAAATTTTCCACAGATATCCCTTCAGTATGCTACCTTACAGTTTGGTTTACAGAAAGGAGAATAGCAAAAATAGACACTAGAAAAGGGTGAGGGGAAATGACGAAATCAAGGTCCCTGGATGTTGTTGGCATAACTTTTCAGATAAAATTCCTGCCATGTTTTACAGTTTTATACTCTCAACTCCTTCCTATGGTTTAACTAGACATTTCTGTAGTTGTTCTGTGTTGAACTTTAATATGGAGTGGATGTAGTTTTTTTCTTGCCACAGCTTCTTTATGGTTGTAGACTGCTACAGTACTGCAAAGTAGGGGTGATAGGTGTGATCAAATCACATTGTATGCATGTATGAAATTCTCAAAGGATAAATTAAAAATGTATTTCTAAAAAGAATACAACAAAATGCAGTGCCTTCGTTCAGTATAGTACATTTCAAATATGCTTGTAAAGATGGTTACATGAATTTTTAATGTATAAAAATTTAATGATATACTTTTATATGTGTGTATGTTTATATATGTATGTATATATATATTGTGTATATAGTTGGAGAACAACAATCTGAATTTTCAAGTTTTGACAAGAATGACAGCAGAAGTCAGGAAACTATCTCTAAACGCCTGTCAGTTGTGTCAAGAGTCCCCTTCACGGAAGAACAGCTCTTCAGCATTTTTGACATAGTCCCAGGACTGGAGTATTGTGAGGTTCAGCGAGATCCTTATTCGAATTTTGGTAAAATGATTGTTTTACTGTTAAGTTTACTGTGTTTTGTTAAAGTGAACTTTATCCATGACACACTTTTATACTGTTTATGTTGCAGGAAGTTTATATTTTATTTTTTCTAGTTTTTTATTCTTTTGATAACAAACATTTATTGTACAGTGATTATTTTCACAATGACATTTTTGTTCAAGTATATCATGTACATTAATCTCATTACTACCCATTACCCTCTCACATTCCTTTTTTCCTACCTTATAGTTTAAAATCCAAGGATACCTTAATAAATAAATTTCCAAGAATATATCTTCTGTATAAAAGCCATTCACCATAAAAATAACTCACAAAATAAAGGACTCTATATCCCAATGTGCCCCTGGCTAGGGTCTGTTTTTACCGTTTGGATTGATGCTAGCAGATTTATAAAATGCTTAGTTTCTTCCTCACTCATCTCCAAGTCTTTTTCTTAAACTCTCTTACATCTTAAGTGCTCTGCATCATCTCTGTGCATTGTCAGATTTGCAGTAAAAGCAAAGTGTATTAGTTACAGCGAATACATTCCCCACGGGCTTGTCACAGGTGTTCTGAGCCAGGCAGGCAGTACCTTAGCTGAGTTCCCCTCCTTAGGTGGCTCTAGGTTGTGTCAAGTTGACCATAAAACTAATCAGTACATACAATTGGATTTACGCAGGGATATGATTTCGTGTTTTTCCCCAAAGTGCGCTATGAAAACCTTCTGGTTGTGTCACAAGCTCCTGGGCTCGAGGATAAATCTTTCCCTTCCTTCAGTGCTGCCCCTTTAGTTGAAATCTATCTCCAGAGTGAAAGCTCAACAAGGAATGTGAAATGGGCAACTTGTAGCCTAAGACCCTGTCACCATCCTGCTGTCTTTCATATGTGCTACCTCCTCCGATGTTCCAACTACTGAGTATACAGTTTAGCAGGAAAATCTCCCAATTTCTAACAGCTAAGAGTTTTGGTTTTCATGTATATTGATGCTCTGTAGGAAAATTTGAGCTGGGCCTGGTGGTGAGTGCCTGTTGTCCCAGTCCTCACTGGGACACAGGGGTAATGGAATTGCAACTTAAAGGCCCAGGGCTTGGTCCATGTAGTGAGATCCTGCTGAGAAAGAGGGGTGGGGGGCGATCTTGAAATTCAGTTCATTAGATGGAATATATGCTGATATTACATTTTCTTAAAGTACTATGTTTCTATTTTATCACGATTTGACATACACTTCCCTGCCTATAAATAATGTTGTGTACGTGCTTTACAGAGGTTTATTCTCTGCTGTCTTTGATTTTGTATTTACTAGTTGTGTAATAATAAAGTTCTGTATTTTTTGCCTTCAAGTACATTGTAACTCAGGCCTTAAAGACATCCTCCATCTACTGCCTTTTCCATTTCTGTATAGGTCATGGTGTGGTTCAGTATTTTAACGTAGCATCTGCTATTTATGCAAAATATAAATTGCATGGATTCCAGTACCCCCCTGGGAATCGGATAGGTGTTTCCTTCCTGGATGATGGGAGTAATTCGGCAGAGTAAGTACCATTCCAGGAATGTCCTAGCCAAGCTGTGGGCGGACATGACTGGCTTGAAGAATAAAAGTAGACAGTTAACCTCAGGTGAGCAAGTCATATCAAACAAATTGCTGTTAAGATGCTGAATATTTCTCATTTTCTGTAAGTTGTCGGTTGTTGTTTCCAGTCTCATCAGAAAAATGGCCACACAGATGGTGGCGTCACAGCTCGCATCAATGGTGTGGAGTAACCCAAGTCAGCAGCAGCAGTTTCTGGTAAGTAGGTAAGGGTGTGACCTCTGTAATACAGGCAGCAAATAATATGGCATTTGTTTATTACTGAAGAAAGAACATTTTCAGAGCCGTTGTACAACACCACAAGGGTACTGTGACACACTTTCAGCTCTTGGTCCCAAGTCCCTGAAGAGCAATCTTATCTCTCTCCCTTTGTGCCTGACTCTTCCACAGCAATTTGGAGGAAGTTCTGGGTCACAGCTGCCCCAAATCCAGACAGATGTTGTGCTTCCATCCTGCAAAAAGAAAGCCCCTCCTGAAACGCCTGTGAAAGAAAGACTTTTTATTGTGTTTAACCCTCATCCTTTGCCGTTAGACGTGTTGGAGGATATATTCTGGTAAGATTCACTTCTGCAAAGCTGCACATTGGTATCTGTAAACAAGTGCATTCAATGCACGTAAGCAAGGAGCCGCCATCCTCATGATCCTGCCACCGAGAGACACCTGTTCTGAGGTTTGCAAAACTCCTTATTGATCTTTTCAATTTATGATCGCTTCCATTGTGGTCACATATCCTAACCTCTACCCAGAATTTCCTGGGTTTGTTGTGTTTGCTTTTGTTTTTTGAGACATAAGACATACAGGATGGTTTTTAAAAGCTGCAGGTATGGAATGGACAAATCACTTATCTCTTAGGAGAAGATGCATTTACATAGATCTGTCTTCACATTCCATTTCCTTCATGTCGTAATGCAGTCCATCAGTTTACTAAATACCTTACATTTTGCCGGCACCTGGTTGGATCCTGAGGATTATGTCATATAGAGCAAATCACTTGACTATAGGGAATAATATATGATAAGTATAAAGGAAAGGGAAGAAAAAATACCTATTTTTGTATTTTAATATAACTTTATGTCTACCCTAGCTTTTTTTAAACCTACTGTTTGTTTGTTCTTTAGACATTTTCCTTTTGCCTACTAAGACTATTAGTGAGTTAAGTAAATAGGAAACATGTTAAAGATCCACTGAGAATATCAGGCATGAAGTGGTAGTGTGCTGACCTTTCTTTATGTAACTGATTAACTTAGTTTTAGGTTTGGTTTGGTTTTGTTCTTGAGCCACTTGTCTGTGCTAGGCTAAAGTGTGATGTAAACTAACATTCTATTACATGATTATACAGAGCAGCAGTGGTAGGCACCACAGAAATTCTGAGGTTTCTCTTTTAAGCAAGGTGTGTGATGGGACCTGCAGGATAAACCTAGTTTTGCCAGGGAAGGAGGTTTTTGCTTGTTTTCCTGCCAGAAGGAATATAAAAAGAGATGGTTTGGAAGCAGATGCAGAGATTGGGAGGAGGGGTGGTGTCCAGTGACTGTCCTGAAAGCGAAGTTCATTCTTACTTGGCAGGCAAGGTGAAACTTTGAGAGTTTTAAGGAAAAAGTCAGAAGACAGTAGAGGGTAAATCAGAGAGGGACGGCCATGGGGTAACCTGAAGACAATATTAGTGAGGAGGAGAGGGATAGCCGCAGGGCAAGGAGGGGTGCAAAGAAGATGTTAGAGGGAGGAAAAGATAAAGATGCAGGAGGCCTCTGGAGAGCTAAGAGAGTAGCTGAAGGAACTGCTTTTGAAGTACCTGGCAAGCAGTCTGATGTTGGCCGTAGACAGGCATTGGGAAAGAGTCTGGACCTGTGTTTAGAGCTTACTGAGAGCATCCATCTGTCTCTGATACTTTCTTTGATCTTTTACTGTTTCAGTCGTTTTGGTAACCTGATCGAAGTTTACCTCGTGTCAGGAAAAAATGTGGGCTATGTCAAGTATGCAGATAGAATGAGCGCCAACGATGCAATCTCAACCCTGCATGGGAAAATTCTGAATGGAGTCCGACTGAAAGTCATGTTGGCAGACTCCCCACGAGAAGAACCTAAAAAGAGGCAGAGAACTTACTGAGTCTCGGTAAGTGTGTCTTCCCCCAGCCAAGCAGTATAACAGGAATGTCTGTAAGTACTTTACTTGTGAGCTTTCCTTGGGGGACTTTAGAAGCTACTTATAACCTCGTTGGCTTAATCCCTATTAGGAAAACCAAGGGTTTGTTGTTGTTGTTTGTTTGTTTTGCAATATATATATATTTTTAATTTAGAAAACTTGTTTAAACTCAGGGCTGGGGAGATGGCCCAGCCGCTGTGGGCTTGCTGCTCCTCCAGAGGACACCCATCAGGCTTCCCGTAACTGCCTGTTGTATGTACCTAAAGCTCGAGAGCCATCCAATGTCTCTTCTGAACTCTCAACACATTCTGTCATGTCTACGCACCCACACCTAAATCCACACACATAAATAATAAAATGTGCCTTTAAAAAGTAGTCTCCCGACTTCTTACTAATTAAAAACAGTATGAAATAATATAGTTTTTTTGGAACTTTTAAACCTAAATATTGGTGTCTTTCTGAACTCAAACGTAGGAGTTTGTATTTAAAAGTATACATTCAGAAAATATTTCCATGTGCATGTATATATTTTTAATGAACTATTTGCTAAATCCCCTTTTCCTATGAATACTGATACAACTTACGAATTCCTTGTTCTATTGATTAATTTTTAAGACTCAATCTTCTATTTCTATGGTGGGTTTTCTCTGTGACTTAAAGGGAGACATCATCTTTAGATTGTTTTACTCTGATGAATTCTGAGTTTCAGGGACGATCCGTTTCCTGTTTCCTACACTCATCATGCTCCCAGCCCTGCTCCATGTCGGGTGTATCCAGCTCTGACCGTTGCTGGGAGCTAGTAACTGTCAGAATTAATCCTGTGGGCCTGGCCACTGAAGACCCTTTTGTAAAGCAAAGCAAGTCATTCGTTCTTCCTTTTTCTGAGTCACGTGACAGTGAACATGCCTTTTGGTCCCATAGAAACAACCCTACTTTAAAAATCTTTTCAATGTCTTATTTGATGACAAAATCCACACTTATTACACTTATCCAACTTATTAGCTCTAAAGATATTAAGTTACCAGTGAAAGAGAATTAGCAAGGAAATTTTCTTGTTTACTAATGTTATTAATTTAATTCTGTTTAAGTGAACAATCCTTTAAAATATTCTGCAAAAATTACATTTACCCCTGTGTCTAAATATTTTAGCATATAGGTGACAATTACTGCTTTTGTTCAGGGAATCTTTGCCCTTAAAAGGGCGATAATATTAACTTCTTAGTACAGAATAATGTGCAAAGTACTCTCATGGTTGAGCCTTTTCTAATGATAATTTACATTTTAGAGAGAATTAGTAGCTTATAATCTGAGCACTCAGGAGACTGGCAGAAATATTGACTGAAGTTAATGTGAATACATAGGGAAAGCTTGGGAGAGAGTATGAATGAGCATGAAGCAGAAGATTTGGACTAGACCCACCTATAATACTTATATCTGTGTAGATCTTTTTGGAGGCCTGGTTTTTTGGCTAGGTTTCTTGTAAGGCACAGAAACAGCAGAATCCCTGATAAATGAAAGAAAAGCTTTGTAAATATGAACTAAATCTCATATTTATGGCTTTAGTGGAGCCTTTCAGATGTCATCTCACCCAATGATCAGAAAGTAAAAGCTTGATGGTGCACAACTACCTCCTAGTCAGCTGGTACTGTGAGAACCTCGCTTTAAAAATGGCAGCTTCACCTTCATAGTGGTTGCATTCATCTGGCTTCCTAACTAAAGGAACTGTACGTACTCGCTAGCATGGTTAGCAATCAAAATGAATCTGTCCCTGTCCCATTATGGAACTTTGACACATAGTCAGGGCAAAGGTCAAAAGGAGTCATATAACTTGCAAATGGTGTCTTGGTTACAATAGAAATAACTATAATTTGGATACCTTCTAATTGTACCATGAAATTTATTTTTGCAGTACATTCTTGTTTATCTTAGATATCACAGTGAGATTTTCTGCCTTTTGGGGTGTGTTAAGTAATTATATTGGCCAAGTTTGCTGGCCTGAACCTGTAGTTGCAGTTCTTAGGAGGCAGGAGGCTCATATAAATTTAGAGCTTAAAGCGAGCCTGGAAGACATAGTGACACCCTGTCTCAGTAAGTGAATAATCTTTTCTTAAGGTTCAACAAAGTACTATGATAGACCTCTCATGTTTTACATGATTGTTACAGAACTAATTTCTTTGGTGTGGTTGGTACAGTGACATTTGAATGCTGGTTGCTTTTGTTTCTGGAACTAAATGACTGACACCTAAGAAATAAACTGGTTAAGAGTCAATGGTGAAAGTAGTTGGGCTCTATTTTGAGATGAGTCTTGTGTTTATAATATATTTCTCTTTCTATTTGAGGAAAATAGAAATTTTAATATTTCACAGCATCTGGTTTTAAGTTAATTCACAGAACTTTCCCTCTAGAAATCCAGTACCTGCTGGCATCGACTCTAAGTAAGTTTGGTTTTGTTTACTTGGCATTTATAATAGAACAGATCAGACTGGCTCTATAGAGGTTAAAGAATCCTGATAATTGGGAATACTAAATACAATGGCTATTCCCTTTCAGGTGATGATTTTCATACTTGTATTGTGTTCTTTCTACAGAACAAAGACTAACTAATGACATAATCCTCAGCTGACTGACTGAAAAATGTGACTGGACGAACTCCCTGTGGACAGTTGACAGCTTTTTTTTCTCTTTTCACATATCTGATAGTCCACACACCATTGCTTGCCTGGGATTGCTGACTTGTATTTTTGTCTGACCTTAATGATAAAACTAAAATAGTAGTTGTTTCCTAGAAGAAAATGTTGTGAATAGCAAAAATAAAGCTTCCTTAGAGAAATGTATTGTCTTGTATAGCAGAAATAAAGTTTGCTTTTTTCATAACTAAATCATGACTTATTTATGTGAAAGACAAGAATGAAAAAATAGTAATAGGTGGTGTTTAGAATTTAAGTAAGTGGCGTGTTTCATTGATTTTGAGATGTGTATTTTCACATTTTATTATCTGTGAAAGTAAAAACATGTCCATTGTATGAAACAACGCCCCAGTGAGACGTGAAATAAAGGTGTTTCTTCCAGCCATTTGCATCTTAGAGTTAGTGAAACAGGCTAACACACTCAATCCACACAGTCACTGTTGACTCTGCAATGATACAAGCACAACATTTCACTAGAAAGAGTGTGGTGCTGTGTCTTTTTTGCTAGACCAAAATTTGTTGGTAGTTTTGTGAGCATATAAAGTGTCAATGATTTAAAAATCTAGAGGGGTTGTTTTGTTTTGTTTAGCTGGGGTTGTCATTTGTCATGTAATAATAGGCTGACCTGGAACCCCTGAATCTCCTGCCTCTACTTTCCAAGTGCTAGGATGATAGATCTAGGTTATCACACATGACTTCAGGGTAAATAGTATGAGTGGCTTTGAGAGAATGGACATTTTTTTCATTTATAAATATACAAAAATTATGGCCACTCCAAAAATAGGATATGTAAACAATTATCACAACAGACTGATAGAAGATGGACTCATTTTGAAATGAAAATAATAATTAGGAAGCTAGCAGGTATAGTGTATCATATCTGTAATCATAACACTTAAGAGGCTGAGGCAGGAGGATTGCTGTGCATTTGAAGCTAGCCTAGGGTTGGTATCTTTTTTAAAAAATTACTAAAAAGCACTTTGCAATTTGAAAATTCAAGAACAAAATTTATCAGCTCTGAAGAAGATTAAATCAAGGACTTGGCAACTTAAAAGAAAGTATAATGATGTATAGTTGTTAAAACATTGCTTAATTACCTCATTATGCCTGTTACATCCTGAGTTAAACTACAAATAAGGAAAACTCAAATACAGGGAGCACAAAAGAGTATTTAAAACCTGGACATTCTCTATTGAAAACTTAAAAGCCTTTCTTTGAATCAGTAATTTTTATAAATGTAGGATCTCAATTGATCTTTCCAGGCAGAAAGTGAGCCAGTATTTTTCTATGCCAGGAGCCATCTTTTATAAGTGTCAATGCTTTCTGGGGGAAATGAAGACCTGAAGTAAAGAAAACAGAGGATTCATTACCACCAGATTAATTCCTGCCAAACTTACTTCCTGTACACAGTTCAATTTTCTTGAATTGAAATTAAATTATTTCAGTTATGTTTGAATTCCCTCAAAATATTCCTGTCCAGGTGTTTATACTATGTATACATTTTTAAACAATGGAAGCTCCCTATGTCTTCTTGGAGTGCCTGATACCTCTGGCTAATCCTCATAGTTAGGGATAAAATCCAGCATCTTACAGTTTTCATCTGCTGTTCTGTGTGTTTCTCCACAGCCCACATGGAAGCTGATTCTTTTCCATGGCTGTCATAGGTCTTCCTACCCTCCAGGTTTCCCAGTGTGCTCCTGAGCCTACGTTCTCAGTTCTGTGTAGGCGATGTGGTGGTTTGAACAGAAATGTCCCCTGTAGGCTCTTGGAGTTGAACATATCATAGCATTGTTTGGAAGATTTTGGAACTTTCTGGAAAAGTCATAAATATTAGAAGTAGAGTTAGGAGCTTGGGAGATAAAGCAGAGAGACTTTGCAGAACTTTAATCTTGAGGAAGCAGAGGCAGGTGATTATAGAATTCCAGGCCAGCCTGGTCTACTGAGCTCCAGGCCAGCCACGGCTACATAGTATGACCCTGACCCAAAGACTGGAATCAAATATGAGAATGCCAATATAATGCAGACAATAGAGGCCTAGCTCTTCATGAACAAGGACTCTAGGTAGTAGCTGGGTTAGAGGCTATTCTTGTGATATTTGGGAAGAAAATCTGACTACATTCCACATGCTTTTGAGAATTTGCATGAAATTGAATTTAAAAGTAATGGGCTAATTTTGGTAGTGGAAATTTCAAGGCACCATTGCATCAAATTTTGTGACATAGTTACTACTGATTATTCTTCTGAAAATCTGTAATGAAAGAGCAGCAAGTGGGGCAGGAAACAAAAAGCCAAACAACGTAGTTTGGAATAGAAAGGAGCACTAAAAAGCTTAAGATCTCAGCCAGGTCTTGTGCTGGAAAAGGCTGTAACTGTTGTAAGAGTTGGCACCATGAAAGAGAAGCTCCTGACTCTGTAATGTAACAGGAATTTCCGGTGGTGTTGTGTGTGTGTGTGTGTGTGTGTGTGTGTGTGTGTGTGTGTGTGTGTGTGTGTGTGTGTGGCAGGGGTGGCACTAAAGGTTTTGCTGCTCATAGAAAGCAAGTAAACAGGGAAGGTTTTCACCCTTACATAAAAGCTGCTGCAGCTGTGCCTGGTACAGGTCAAGGTCCACCCCAAGTTCTCAGCCAAATTTGGCAGGGTATGGGTTTTGGAGATAAGAAAAAAGCAAGATTGAGAGGGTTATGGAGTCTTCCTCTGCATTTTCAGTCACTGAGACTAGGCATTGTGTATACAGGGTTACTCCAGCTCACATGTGAAAACTGGAGCTAGGAACCTCAGATGAGAGAGAACATGGCGTTTGTCTTTCTGGATCTGGGTTACCTCACTTAATACAGTATTTCCTAGTTCCATCCCCTTTACCTGCAAGCTTCTTGATTTCATCTTTCTTTACAGCTGAATAGTATTCCATAGTGTGTATGTATCATATTTTCATTATCCATTTGTCAGTTGAAGGTTGTTTCCATTTCCAAGCTATTATGAATAGAACAGCAACGAACACAGCTGAGCAAGTATCTGCAATAGGACGCTGAGTTCTTTGGACACATGCCAAGGATAGGTATAGCTGGGTCATAAGGGAGATTTTTTTAGCCTTTTGAGAATTCTCCATGCTGATTGCCAAAGCGGCTGCACCAGTTTGCAATGTAGTGGAGGGAGATTTTTCAACAAGTTCCTAAGTGATGCCGATAGGCAGCCTTTGGTTTTTCAGTTTGTAATATCCTTTTCTAAATATTTTCCGTATGTTTGACTTTGGTTTAGATTGCTGAAGAACACTGAGAAGTTGTGTATGTGTTTTCCTACATTGAAAACTAAGTATCTCCTTTTCCTCAGCTTAGTGTCAGTAAATACAAATGGCAATAAGAAACTGATATATAACAAATATAAGAAGTCTTACACAGTGGGATAGCCTCACTGAGGCACGATTTCTTACAGATGTGGATATTAAAAATCTTAGCAAGTTAATACCATTTCAGCATCAGAAAAAGAAACAGGATTATTCTTACATGATTTTAGTAAAGAGGGGAAAAGATAACATTCATTGTTTGATTACCAGTTCTGTTGTAGTGTCTGGAAGGCTACTAAGTGGATTGTATCGTTTCCTTTTCTAGAAACATTAACTCAAGAGCACCTGGACCCTGGGAGCTAAAGGTATGGTATGGCTAGAGAGTCTGACAGAAACGTTTAGTTACAATGTGAAGCTGCAGTTCTCTCAATGCACTGCGAGCTGAACGAATGTGATTGACAGCTGCATTTGCTCCTGAGGATGAAAAATGACCATGCTCTGAGAAAATGCACCTGTGCTTTGAAAAATATACCAACCCCTGCCAGTCCATCTGAGTGACTGCCCCAGAAAAGGGAATCCTAAGGTTACCCATTAGGAATTGAAGCCTGCATGACAAGGTCTATGTGACCTAGCCAAGATGCAGGTTGACCAAGGTCACAACCACGGTAGCATTTGTAAAAAACTGCCTACCCTACCATCCTGCTGCAGATGTTGGTGAAAGAAGACTTCAGGGGTTATTTTAAGAAAATTGTATTTGAGATATGAAACTCTGTTACAAGGTAAGTACTGTTTCCCACAAAAACTGGGAAAATATTGAGCACAGTCAGATGATGGAAGTACCTATTCCAAGATGCTCTTTAGGGTCTCTGCCGTTTGTAAGCAGTGTTCGACTAACTTTTTCTCATGTAGATAGTAATGTTATGTTCCATCCAGCAGCCAGATCAGATTGTTAGGGGTGTTTGTTCTATTGTTTTTATTTGTTTTTTTAATGCTGTAAAAAGAATTAAAGTTGTCTACTTCAGTGTCATTTATTAACTTATTCAACAATGTGATGTGTCAAAATATGTCCTTTGATTTTTTAAACTTTTTTTTTAAATAAATTCTGTTGTGTTCCATTGTGGCCCTAGGAAACTGTGTTTACATTCTTACTGTTGATCAGAAAAGACTTCTTTCTTTACCACATTAAGCTGGTTACTAAAGACTAGAGATGCCAGTGTGGCATCTGGGGCAAGGTAGAAGAAAAACAAATCGCAATTTCTAGCCTCTAGAACTGACTTCGAGAAGAGCTGAGGTAGTGGGTGAGTGCTCTGGGCAAGTGACCTGCTTTGGCAAGTAACGAGGTTCAGACAACACGGCAAACAAAACAGGGTGCTCGGAGAGCTGCCTCTACTCTATGACTACCAGTGCCTACTGAGGGCTCATCCACCATTAGGTGCCATCTGGGCTTACTTCTCCATTGGAAATTCTTAACGGTGCTTGTCTCGGCACTCTTATAGTTCTGGGAATTGCAGGCAATAAGGGATCTATAGGACATGTTTTGATGTAATTGGATTTTTAGTGTCTCAGAAAAAAAAGGGTAAGAGTGGTGGTGGCACATGCCTTTAATCCCAGCACTTCAGAGGCTGAGGCAGGCAGATCTCTGTGAGTTCGAGGCCAGCCTACTCTACGAAGTGAGTTCCAGGACAGTCTCCAAAGCTACACAGAGAAACCGTGTCTCAAAAAAACCAAAAGAAAAAGTTGTTGTCCTGCCATCCTGAGAGATGTGCAGAGTATCCGAAGTGCCTGGCTTCTGTCCCACAGGGTCAGTCTTTTAGAGCTTGCTGATGTAAGAAGCTTCCAACTCCCCCAAGAGCAGGTGTCACAGACAGTACCACAATGCCTCCTCCATACTGTTCCCTTATCTTTTAAAAAT